TATCTATATCGCATAATTAACATAATTAGAAAGAAAGAAAAAGAAAATTTTGGCTAAAATACTGTTGCTTGATATAGTAAATCACATGAGAGGAGGGCATTGTATCAGTGGGGATTTGGTAACGCAACTCCTCTGTAAGTTCCATTTATTCAAATCGGCCTACTCTGATAGTAATTTATTATACTTAGCTAGAATTTAAGCCATTGTGATACTTGATATGTTAAATAGATGCGTTATATGTAAATGAACAACAATAAAACTAATACTGTGGGTGGTATATGTTAATTGGTATTCCCAATGTGTTTAAAATCATGTTTTAAGGGAGGAACTGGACTAGATAACCTTCAGGTTCTCACATGTGTTCACCACAATTGTATGGTCCACTCCTACAGCATTCTAGTCTCAAGACTAAAACCATAATTGCACAAAGCATTATGTAACTTTTCTCTGTATAAGAGCTGTTTGCTTGACCTTAGAATTTGTCTCTTCAGAAGTAATAAAGTTCTTATGGGGAATTTAGTAACATGATTTGTGTATAGAGATGTTTAATGACACAGGTGTATGATAGATCAGAGACAGTTCACTAGTTCTGTGTGTGGTCTGTTATTTCCTGCTGGCTGCAAAGCAGCAGGTAACCAATAAGCCATATTCTCAAAGCTACTTACTATTCATCACATCTCTGATAATTATGTTTAGATATAATTGACCCACAGTTGACCCAAAGAGTCTGGTTGAAGCCAATTTTCTGTGTAATTTTGCATCTTACGGAGTTCCATGACTCAGATTTATTATATATAGAATGCTTACCATGCTGTGCATCTACAAAATAACAGAAGGTTAATTGTGCAAGCCTTCACCCATGGCTAAACTCTTCTTTTTGTGTTCAGTTGTGCATCCAGTTATACAACCAGTGTACAATTGGTTGCTTGAAGGATAATCTACCTGCCACCTGTTTTTAATGCTTCTTACATTTAGTGAAATATGAAGAGAGCAGATAAAAATATACTTTAAATACCCTGATGATTTCTGAAAATCCCCATATTCAGTGCTTCTTGTTTTGATAAGTTCTAGCATAAAGTACTCTGGTTTAGATATAAACCAAAGATCCTTTGATATCTAATTAGGTTTTCGTTTCCCTCTTCTTGCATTTAACACAACAAACAAGACCTACATATTTTTGTTTCTTATTCAACAAATTTTAAATAATCTCAGATTTTGCTTAATACAATTGAGTTATCCCTAAACCATTAATTTAATTCCTCTTCTTAGGTATTTATCTGTAACTTAGAAAGCATGCTGTATTGTTTGAATTTTAAACTGTGTGAGTTAATTCAAGACATAAACATTGAGTAAACAGATTTTGCTTTTCAAAAAGGCAAGTAATGTATTTCCTCAAAGCTTAGGCAGAAATAGTTTAAGATCTAGAACCCTATATATGCAAGATTTCTGTTCCAAGCCATAACAGTTCAACCCTCACAAGAACATAAAGCTCTTCTGTTTGTTGTGGATTCTTCGGGCACTTTGGCTGTGTTCTGAAGGTTGTTTTTCCTAACGTTTTGCCAGTCTCTGTGGCTGTCCTCTTCAGAGGATAGGAGTAGCACTCTGTGCTCTGGTGCAGTTTGTTTGGGAGTTGAGTACAGTGGTGCCCTGCATAGCGACGATAATCCGTTCCGGAAAAATCATCGCTATACGGATTTGTCGCTATGCGGAACAAAAAAGCCCATAGGAATGCATTAAAACATGTTTAATGCGTTCCTATGGGCAAAAAACTCACTGTGCTGCGAAAATCCTCCATATGGATGCCATTTTCGCTGCCCGGTAAGCGAGGAATGGGCGCGAAAACACTGTGGGCGACCATTTTTTTACCTGGTGGCCATTTTGGAACCACCAATCAGCTGTTAGGAAAACATTTCTACGCAAAAATTGGTAAGCGACACAGCTTACCGATCATCGCAAAGCGATGTTTTACCATTTAAAACATTGCAATGTGATCGCAAAAACGATCGCAAAAAAAAAATCGCTATGCGGATTCATCGTTAAACGGGGCGCCCGTTATGTGGGGCACCATTGTATATATAGCTGTGGGATCAGCTTTTGTCCTTTTCAGGAGATGGGAAATTATGTTGATCAGTGTGTTTTTATTGTGGGTGTATTGTTGTGATAAGGAGGAGAGATTATCTGTCACTGTGACTGATAGGTGTTTTTAGCTGGTCTTTTGTGTATAGTGATCACCGGTCCTTGTGGCTGGGTATAGTTCGTTGACCTTTTGCAGGCTGTATTTTTCAGTGCTGGGAGCCAAGCTTTGTTGAGTTTTAAACTTTCTTCTTTTTTGTTAAAGCTCTATTGGTGTTTGTGGATTTCAATGGCTTCCCTGTGCAGTCTAATGTAATGATTGCTGGTGTTGTCCACTATTTCAGTATGGATTCTTGGATCAAAAATTAGCCCTCTGACCCTCTGAAGTTGCCAACCTGCCCAGGAAAGGGTATATAGGAGAGGGTAGATGTTTGCCTTTCTACATCAGTGTTTATCTTCTCAAAACAATCATTTAAATATATTTGGAATGTCAAATTGGTATCAACCTAAGCATGCTTACTGAGAAGCAAATTTAATGAGTTTGAGGGGTATAATTTGATGCCAAACTGGTATGGGCAATATCCCCTTCAATATCTACTTCTGCACAGCTACAACTGTTTTGAGTGCCACTGGTGAGGTAACCTGGTGAAGTGTCAGTCATGTGTGGTTGTATAACACATGGGGAACTCCATAGCTGGAGTTCTATGTATATAAATATTGAAGAAGATACTGGCCTTATATGCCTGGGATTGTTATCTGAGTGCCTTGTAAAGTGCCTTGTAATTTGATTAACTACAATCCTGTTCAGATGTTGGAGCTGTAGCGTGATGAATATTGTGTGAAGGAAGAACAAAGTTCTTAACTACACAAGGAACTTTGCACATATGGAGACAGCTGCACTTGCTGCAGAGGTCTTCACTCTCCAGCAAGAAGAGAACAGCAGGACCAGCAAGTGTGCCCTTGTGTTCTTTTTATCTTGTAGGGCTGTAACCACCTGAACAGGTTTTAACTGTTCTTCAGATCTGTTTCAGTTTGGGTTGCCTTGTATATATATGTAGTTGTTGCTGGTTTCGAAACCCTGAATCATTTTCCTCATAAAATGTTCCTTATTGAATAAAAATGTGAATTTCCTTATATGGGTATACTGTGTATTTACTTACAATGACAATAAATAAATAAATAAATAAATAAATAAATAAATACAAACATTATATATGCTCTAAATTTTTATTCATGTAAACAGAGTGTGATACTCTGTGTATCTGTGTGTTTGAAACAGCTGACAAATGCAGTGCTCTCACAGTAACATTTGATGCTTAATAAACAGCCTTATTTGGTGAGATGATACTGAAGTATCAATGGATAAAAGTAAGCTTGGTGTCTTATAAATTTTCTTTTGATGATACAGGTCCGGAAGACATTCTTCACTTTAGCGTTCTGTGACTTCTGTCGAAAGCTACTTTTCCAGGGATTCCGTTGTCAGACTTGTGGATATAAATTTCACCAGCGTTGTAGTACGGAGGTGCCGCTGATGTGTGTGAATTATGATCAGCTTGAGTAAGTAATCAAGATTGTTTAGGCTTAAGCAGAGGTAGTAGGAGAGCCCTAGTCAGGATTTGATAAAGTTCTTTTTTCCTTCTTTTTTCTTTTACTATAATTCCCAGACTCCCCCAGTTCTGAGGAAAGTTTTCTGCAGAAACATTTCTGTTGCATGTTACTAGGGTAGCCGCCAGTACTAGCACACTGTGCAGTACAGTTGTGCCTGTGTTACTCTGGAATGGGAGCTGCTAATGTCACAGTGAAACAAAATATAAATCCTTAAACCCTGTGAAACTCTTGTTTCCTCCACAATAGGACTGAGTTGCCTTTTGAGTCTCACAATGTAAATTGAGAGTATGTTGGTAAAAGACTATCTAAAGACAGGAACAATTCTAAGGGAGTTAAAGTACTTAAACTATTGTGGGAACCCATTTAAAAATCAGTGGCCAGAATCCTAGTGTGAAATGCCACCTGCATAAGGAAACTGGGCAAATGATTTTCAAAGTTTCTGGCTGTTGTGTCACCAACTGAATATGTTACCTTGGGGTATGCCCAAGCACATGACAGAGCCCAAATGATTGTGTACACCAGATACCGTATTTTTCCATGTATCAGACTATAATTTTGTCTAAAATCTTTAGACTAAAAATTAAGGGTCATCTTATACACGGAAGTAAGCTGAAGAAAGAACAAAAATAAGTGGAGGGGAAAGCAGGGTTCAAAGTGATCCTGCAGGGCTTTGATCCCTACTTCCCCCCCACACACTTGCTAAGCCCCACTTAGATTTCTTAATTTTGGGTTAGAAAAGTGGGGGTGTCTTATACATGGGGCGTCTTATACAGTAACTCCATTTGGACTTTGTGTTGTGCAAACCCAGTGAGATTCTGATATGACATTTTCAGACCAGTTCTTAAAACCCACTGAATCACCACAGGTTGGTGTCTGAAATTCCTTACTAGCAGAAGGGTAGGCCTTAACATTCTTATATAATTAGGTCCTCCTAAGGAGAAAGACGGGTAAACATATTTAAATGAGAATGAATGAATCAAGGTCACAAACCTGGCAGTGAAGAGCTGAATCAAATTGACTTCCTTTTGTTGGATGGATGTTCTTGGCTGAAAGCTACATAGTTAGAAAGCAAAACTTTCTCTGGTTGGTTTTCTGTCCCTTAAATCAACAGAAGTCTGTAGCCAAATATTTTGCCTCAAGTACTTCCCTGACTACTTTGGTGTAGAAACAGTTCCATTGTATTACTGCATTGCTTTATTTCAGCAGAGGCCAGTGAGCCTTCTTAAAGGCTTGCATGTGTGGCCAAGTAAGACAGCCCAGAAGTACTATTTTCAAGAAGATTGATGTATTTGTTGATTCCATTTTTTGAAAGATGCTAAATTATTTGTTCATAGTGAGAAGAATATTGAACCCATAATGGCCTTTTAAATAGTTAACTGTTTCATACAGAATCTAGATGTTATAAAGAGAGATGCTATGTTTAACACAATTGTAAGTGTGAAAAGCAGTCTAGAAATTTATCAAATAATAACAATTGTGTAGTCAGGATTTGGTCACCCTAGCCTACCTTCCAATAATGTTCTGATAGTGTGTGAAGTTGTGTTGTGTGTGTTCCTTTGCCAGCAGCAGCCAATAATATGAAGTGGAACTGGGGAAAACAGAAAACTAAAAATCTTGCCATGGGTAAATGTCCCTAAATGGGATGTGTTTCCATTTTTACAGTAATGCCACTGCATGTGTTGTGTTTTGGTTTCATATCTAGCACATTTAAAAAGAGTACTGGTTAAACCCTGCAGAAACCAGGCAGGTTTCTACTACAACAGAAAAAGCATATATTTAGGTTAATCAATGTTCCAACCTACTGATAGTTAACTTTTCTAGTCACCTGAAATCAAATTGCAGAGTCATCTCCCACTAATTTTTATTATATCTGCAGTTGAATTATTTGATTTATGACATTTTTCCCTCCAAGTACTATTATCTGAATTGTTTGTGTTTTGCCCACTTTAGATTGATTTTTGTTCTTGCCTCACAGTTTGCTGTTTGTTTCCAAGTTCTTTGAACATCACCCAATATCACAGGAGGAGGCCTCCGTAGGAGAGACTACTACAGCATCTGGATCATACCCTTCAGTGGCCCCTTCAGATTTGCCTGGGTATGCTTTTGAATTCTGCTGCGTTTTATTATCATAGATCTGTGTTTTTCAGAATACTGTCTTGTAGTTTGGCCTGGCTGAGTTCTGGTTTGTCACCAGAAAAAAACAAAGGTGATGTGTATTTGTGATGAAAGGTTTGGACATCTTCATAACCGATGCAGAATTGGGACATCAGCCTGGGATTTTCAAATAGGATATTATTTCTGAAAGTGAAACTTTGAATTGGGGGAGAAACTGGAGTTGTGCATATCTGATATATCAGGATAATTAATGAAGGTTGGTAGCTTTCTTTAAAGGAAGGTATGTTGTGAAAAGGAGGAAAGGAAGGGGGGAACAGGTTTCTCTGTTCCTTACTGTTATGCTTATGAAGAGAAGGAAAAAAAACCCCTCAGAATTGTTTTTCTGATAACATTTGCAAAAGAATCTATCAATTTTTTTTCTGATCTGTTTGTTCTGGACTTGACTGCCCTACTGGCGCTGCTGCTTGCCACTTACATTAGCACTACTACTAAAGCACTATGCTTGGTTGAACTCAGATGTGGCACAAAAGCCACCCTCACTATTATCCCATACCAGCCTGCTTGTGTGCTAAAATACAACAAAAAGATCCATCTATGTTTGTTGAATATGATGGCAGGCTTGGCAAAAGGAAGAACCACCTTTGTGTTCACACCATTTTGTGGAATTATTTATCTGATAAGGCTTGATAACCTTTATTCCAGGAGATGGTAAAAACTTTTTATTCTGGCAGGCCTTGCTTTTCTTTTTTTCTTTTTTCAATTGTTTTTTATTAATTTTCACAGGTATAGGGTTTATGGTACAAATAGGCAAAAGAGGGGGAAGGTAAGAAAGGGTAAAATTCCAGAGAGCGAAAAGTATTCTTACATCCATTTATACAATAATATTCCAGAGAGCAAAAAGTATTCTTACATCCATTTATAAAAATGGAAATCATATGAAGAGAAAAAGAAACATTACAGCAATTTTCCAAGATACCTTTCATTACAAATCTTCCATTTTCTTGGACCTTCTCTTTCTTTTTATCGTTAAGCTTACTAATTTTATGACGGACGTGGTGGCGCTGTGGGCTAAACCGCAGAAGCCTCTGTTCTGCAGGGTCAGAAGACTAGCAGTTGTAAGATCGAATCCACGTGACGGAGTGAGCTCCCGTCGCTTGTCCTAGCTCCCGCCAACCTAGCGGTTCGAAAGCGTGCAAATGCAAGTAGATCAGTAGGGACCACCTCGGTGGGAAGGTAACAGCGTTCCGTGTCTAAGTCGCACTGGCCATGTGACCACGGAAGATTGTCTTCGGACAAAATGCTGGCTCTGTGGCTTGGAAACGGGGATGAGCACCACCCCCTAGAGTCGAACATGACTGGACAAAAATTGTCAAGGGGAACCTTTACCTTTACTAATTTTGTAGGTTTAATATTATTCTGCCTTTTATAGGTTTAATATTATTCTGCCATCTATAGCTCTAAATCAATGTTATAACTATTAATTTGTGTTTATGTTATCATATATTCTTTCACCACAAAATACCTTCTTAAATTTATCAACGCTTTTCTCCACTGCTCTATCTCCGTATTCTAACCAATATTTTCTGCCCCTCTTATCATGTCATCTTTAATTTTCTATCTTATGGACCATGCATCCATTCTCAAGAACTTCATCCACTCCATGTATTGTCTCCTCCTTTGTCCCATCTGCCGCAGAATGTGTCCCATCATCTCAATTTTTCTCCCTTTCGTAGTAAAGTTCACCCTTTGCTGCAGTTCTGCTGCTGACATCTCCATAAGAGGGATTAACAAATTAGCTCTCAGCTGCATCGTATCTTCACCTTTTTCTTCTGAAACCTTCTAGGGTTTAAGGATAACATTGTCTCCCTCTGTCTTTGCTGTAAATTCCATTTGTGTCCTTACATCTTTAGTTTGTTCAAATAGCTGATCCATTTCTGCTTTTATCTGGTGTAATCCATTAAGTATAATGCTTTGAATATTCTTGAGAACCCTCTTGTTGTTCCGTGATTGGAGGTGTTACCTAGGTCCATTAAGTATAATGTTTTGAATATTCTCGAGAACCCTCTTGTTGTTCTGTGATTGGAGGTGTTACCTAAATTTCCAGCAGGTAGCAGTCACAATAGTTATTCACAATGGTAGCATTTCTGGGGGCAGAAAACATTTACAATTCAATCTTTCTCTCCTTGGGCTTTCTGGTTAGCAATGGTTGATAGGGTGAACGCTTTTCTGGCTGCTTCACAGATTTAAATCCATCAGTAGTTTATGGTTAGATTGTCCTGGTGAAGTCCATCAGTAGTTTATGGTTAGATTGTCCTGTGGAAGCGAGTTTTACTACTGCAATAAAAGCAAAGTTATTTTTCTCCCTTTACTTTTCTTCTTTCTGTTTCTCCCAGTCAAGCCTCAAATGAAGGGGGGCGGAATGCTTCTCCCAGTCAAGCCTCAGATGAAGGGGGCGGAATGCTAGTCACTTTCTCTGACAGATTGTACACATTCTTTTCATTGTTTAGGTCCTTAAGAGTTCCATATATAAAGCAAATCACTTACTTCAAGTTCTGGTCAAGATTATTTCCAGAATCCTTATATACTTTTCCACTTTCTGCCATGGGGCATTCACAGCTTTGTGCCAATGGCGCCCACTCAATTTCTGCTTCCTGATGCGACTTCAAAGAGATGCCAATCAAGGGATCCCCCGGCCCTCCTCCCTTCTCAGGTTCTGTTACTTCAGACTTTCACTTCTCCCAGTAAAAGCTCTCCCCCCCACAAGTTGGGAGGGGTCAAAACCAAGTGGTCTCCATCATTTTCAGGAGTCCTCCTGAACTATGACCAGTGATGAAGCCCCGGCTTCCTAGCAGGCCTTTCTTTTACTATCTAGCTAGTGTCCTTTCCTGTGTCTTTGCTTTTATGCTGACTCGTTCTGTGTTTTATTCTGTTATGGAAGCTTGTATTTTGTGATTCATTTTAATTGTTATAAGCCACGGCAACTGGCATGTAAGTGCTAGAAAACCAGAATCTAAGTCTTTACATAAATAAATGTTACTTTGGGCTATTGGATCAAACCATTTGGCTGCTAAGTAGTCAAGCAATGTATGTACAAATGCATTTTAGAAATCTGAATACAAAGCAAAACAAAGGTTTCTGTGCCTTGTGGTAAATAGTAGTACTGTTGTTGGTTTTCTGAAAAATACGGCATAACTCTTTTTTCAAGTCCCTACCAAAGAAAAGCCTCCTTATTCAGAGAAATACTTCTGGTCCTGCAGGTGTCTGCTTAAAATGTGTTTCTTTTGCCTTCTGTGGAACATGCTTCTAAGTTAATGGGGTTGCCTTCACAGCTCTCAAAGCGTTAAGTAAGCCCTCTTCAACACAATGTCACTTGTGAGCTATTCCCATCAATAATTTATAAGCAGCCAATTGTAATTGTATTATTCAGCCAAAAGGGGGCTAAGGACAACATGATCATCATCCTAGAACTGCAGAGCTGAAATCAGTGTGAAACAAAATAGTTTCTGTCCTCAGACTTGCTGTACAATCTAAGATTACTTGGCTAGAGAGACTCATTTCTCATCCAGGGAGCAAAATTTCTACCTGCTTAGAATTATAGGTTTGTAGAGCTGGAATGAACCCTAAGGTGGGGGTCATCAGATCCAGCTTCCTGCCGGTGCAGGAAATCCACAGTTAAGGCATCCCTGACGAGTGGCCACCCAACCTCTGCTTAAAAATACCCAGTGAAGAAGAGTCCATTGCCCCCTTGATAGTCAATTGCAGAAATTAAAACTACAGATGTATGGGATGCAGTAGATAGTATGTCTATTAGGGTGTCACTTTTTTCTTCTTCCTATAAGTAAAACTCCATGCAACTCCACACAAGGAGAAACTAGCAAAGCAAAGGTTAGATTGGAGTCTTTCCCCTGGTACTGTACTTTTGGGGTAGGGTCTATGCTTCAGAGAATGTTGCAGTGCACATCTCTGCATCTGGAGTGGTGCCGTCCATTCTGTCATCTTCTCCGCTGCACTTGTGGATCAGGCTTTTATCAGAAACGAATATGCAAGTGGCTTCAGACAAGCTTGCCTTCCAGAAATACACCTGGATATCAAGCCTGCTGTACAGATAAACTATGTGCAGGTGTGATGAGAACCATGTGGACCATGAGTGTATTTCTTGCCTGCTGTGTATTTTGTAACATGTCCTGCAGCCAGTGAAGCAAATAGTTGTTTAGTTGTGAAAAATGGCTTGACTATTAAAAGATGTTCTTGCCTTTCCAGTTCCAAAGGAACACTCAAAGTGGTTTGTGGCAGTACTCAGTAAATCATTAAAAATACTCAAGCATTAAAAAAAGAGAAACCAAAACAATTAAGCTAATAATATGCTTAAAACAATGGCACTAAAGAAATCCAACCAACACAGATTTAAGGCTGCCTGAAATAATGAGCTCTTGATAATAAGTTGATGATAAAACAGCAGTAAAGAGGGAACCAACTAGACCTTGCAAGACAGGGAGTTCAGCAGTTTGGACACTGTAGCCAAAAAGGCTCTCTACATGTTTCTATCATCCATGCCAGCTCCTGTTTGATAGAGGGCCATAGTTAAATGGCAGAGCATACACTTTGCCTTCAGAATGCCCCCGGTTCCATCTCTGTCATTTCCAGCAAAAAGACTGGAAAGACTTCTGTCTGGAACCCTGAAGAGCTACTGCTAGTCAGAGTTGATAATACTGAGTTAGACAGGCCAGTGATGTGAGTTGGCATGAAATAGCTCTTCATGTTCCTTTGGATTTGAGGTATCTTGAGAAGGTGCCATCTGCCCCCTCTTCCAATATCAGTGGAGGTGGGGAAGCTTTAGATGTAGCTGCATCCACATACTATTATGGACTTCTCATAGCATTCTTATACAGTGCTAGCCTGTCAGATTTTGAAGGATTTAAAGTGATTGGCAACTTGTAGATTCCAACCAAGTAAGTTGAAACCTGAGCCCTTAGTGGGGGAGGATAGCCAAGCAGAGATAGATGGTCCCTATCTACAGTATTGTCAATATACTTGGTAGATACCTGATAATATTAGATTCTGACTCTAGCCCTGGCCCAAAAGGCAGCAAGCATTATAGGTAGAGTTATATGGGTGGGGATTATTCTTGTTTCATCTTCAGTAGAATAACTAGAGCACCCTGCGGCCCTTAATCGATTTTTTTTCAATGCTTTGATTTTCTCAGACCACCAATGCTCGCTAGTCCTTCTCCCTCAAAATCCATTCCAATACCCCAACCTTTCCGACCAGCAGAGGAAGATCATCGGAATCAGTTTGGTCAACGAGACCGTTCTTCATCTGCACCCAATGTGCACATCAATACAATAGAGCCAGTCAACATTGATGTAAGTTGCACTCTAAGATTGGTCTTTATATTGAGAATGACTGCTACTTTTTCCTGTTCCACTAAAGGCAGCTAATGGGCCATTGACCTCATTCAGTCTTTTGAGTTCTTTCTCCCAGATTATTCAAAAGAAGTTTCCTGACTTTCCTGATTGCCCATTCTTTCAAGGGTAGAAGTGATAGGCTAGTATGAGAGACTAGGGTGAGACATAACCAGTCCAGGGAATGTTCAGAAGGCCGATGGGTTCATTCTGTCACAGAACTTGAAAAGATTTGGTCTTCTGAGTTGAGATGTAAGGCTGTCTTGGAAATTATATAAAATCGGTTGTTCTGAGCTCTTTGGAGGAAAAGAAATGAACCAAATGCTGTTTTGATGCACTGTGCTGCTCAGGAGAAGTCATACTGCCCGAATCTTCATCATCCACGTATGAAATCAGAAGCTGTGATAAGGCCAAATTCATGTATTTTCTTCAGTTATAGCTGGCTTGGTGTTAGGCTGGCAGATGGCACAATGACTAAGCAAATGGTGAGTTACTGTTAGTTACTACTTGTCCAGAGCTTTCAGAATGGCAGGAGTGTATATATAGAAAGAATAACCATCTCTGAGCTTGGCTGCTATGATGGAGCAAATTGCCATCAAGAAATCTATTTCGTATGTTTTGATGATATGTACTGGCTGCATATACACTAAATGAAACAGGTGGATGTGTTTCCATGCATTGGACCTGCTGTACATACGACCATGACAGAACAATTTTTGTCTTGAACATTGCCTTCCTAATTATTTCAGTTTTTCTAATGCAAGTCTAGGGTGGATGAGAGTCTATGTCTATAATCCCCAGGAGCTAAACATTACTGTCCTATTTTTAAAATAAAGTTGAGATTTCAGGAACTAGCAATAGATTGGTATTATTGGATGCTACTCCCACAATATTTCTGAAAACATGTTAACTGTGTCATTTCAGCTTGATAGTTCTGTGTTACTCAGAAGCTTACTACTTGTCCATTAAATTGAAGTTGGTCCATAAGCTAACACCTCTCTTATTTAACACTGCTAATTGATGGTCACTGTTTTCCTTGTACCTCCAATCAATAGTCTTCACTCTTCCCCCCCCCCCTCCTTGCTCTGAGAACAATGTTCTAAGAGTATCTGCTAAGGTAGAATGTGATCCTAATGTCATTCTTGAGGCTGTTTCTTGACAGTTAGTTTGCCAGGCCCAGCTTAGCTCAAGCAATCCTATTGGGGAACAGGTATTGGTAAGCAGGTGGCCATTTCCTGGTCTGGTAGAAAAGTATGCTGCATCTGTGCAGCTGCTCAATATCCATTTCTAAATGAGATCATATTTATTCTATGTCCCCATCCTTTTAGTAACAAGAAACATAAGCAATGCATGAATAAGGTGCATACAGTTTTCTTTTTGGTTTGTAGGACTTGATTAGAGATCAAGGGTTACGAGGAGAGGGAGGTAAGTGACTTTGTTATCTTGCATAAAATGCATTGCTTTGCCTCCTCCCTTTTATGCTACCCCCTTTTGCGAAATACAGACACAGAGAGAAATGTAAACAGAGCAAATAAATATAGCTGAACTTGTCTGTCCATGCCTTAGCATCTGTCTGCTAAAAGTTTGAGTTGTTCACATTTCATTGTGGGTGAAAGGGAGAGAAGGATAACATGCAAAGTGGTAGCCAGTGGTGTGTCCCATAGGTAACCAAAGACAACCACAGGAGGGGATGGACCATCAAGTGTGGCTTCCATTTGTACTAAAAGGCCCAAATCTGTGAATTTTCTATTTTGATAAGCAACAGAAAATACTTTCAGCATAGTTCGTGAATAGACCACTAAAGGCTATTCCATTTGTTTTTACAACAGGGGAGTATCATCAGAAAAGTCTTCTAAGGTTCAAAGCTTGGCCCAATTTATTTGTGGGGTTCGATACGTGGAGGAAAAAAATTAGATTTAGTTGTTCTGGTAGCTTAAAAACATTTTGATTAACTTTTAAAAGAAGCTCCAAACTGAGTAGAGCAGCAGACTTAAAAAAACTATTATAATTAACTGTAAAAGATACAGGCAGTACTTCATAAGAGGTGTTCACTTTTGTATATGTGTGAGAGAAGTCCCGGGGAAAGCCTCTTCTGAACTATGCTTTTGTAACACCTGTGTACTGCCTAAAAGCAAAGTGGGCTTTTTGTCTACAAAAGCGTTGTTTGTGTTCTTGCATAATAATGTTTACAGGCCTGGTGGAGTAATTAACAGGTTAATCCACTAAAATATTTCTAGTTAGATGGCTATTGAATTTACCAACCTCTCTTACTTGATGTTTCAGAGATGGCCTCCCACATGCTAAAAATACAAAGCAAACTTAAATTCTGAGGAGTGGATTCATTTCTTAGCAGATTTAGACCAGTATCAGAAGCCATCACTGTATATATATGTACTTCTGCCATGTGACATACATGCCTTTGGTGGATGCTGCTACTACTGCTGCAATACCTCTTAGAGGTAGACTTCAAAATGCTAACTGGCTGCCAGGATTCATTAAAGCTTTGTCTTGGCTCTTCATCATTTGGACATGCAGGGACTTGACTGTATAATGCAGGAAAGCATGTGTCCCTAGTCAGTTGACCTTTTTGCTTTCCATGGCTCTCTTTATGTTTTCCTGGCTCCTTTTAAACCATTTGCCTGTGATGTCACTGCGAGATTTTGCTTCCCATTCACCCTCTACTACTCTGGTTACATCTCATGAGCTGGCTACTACTTTGCAAACTTGAGACCAAAGGTGTGACCTAAAACCATGAACCCCAGCTAATAGTACATTGCCAGTTTTAACTATCATGTACGTCTGGGTAGCTGTGGCTTTTTAAACAGTTTTGCCCATTTTGTTCAACATTTAAATGTTGTGTACTGTCAGTTTAAAAACTCGGGTTAGTAAGCTCTCTGCTGGGCATCTGGTAATGTGTGGCAGTTTCCAGTTTTTTGAAAGGATGCTATTCATTTGGGGTGGTTGGGTTAAAAGTGGGAATGGGAGTTCCCCTGCAAGAGTCCTAAACGATCTATGCCTAGGAGTCAAAACACCTTAGTTATGTCCCATGACTTTCATTTCTTCTGTGTGTCTGTCTTCCTGTCTCTGCCTGCCCGTCTCTTTCTCTCTAACAGCCCCTATGAACCAGCTGATGCGCTGCCTTCGGAAATACCAATCCCGGACTCCCAGTCCCCTCCTCCATTCTGTCCCCAGTGAGATAGTGTTTGATTTTGAGCCTGGCCCAGTGTTCCGAGGTAGTTGGGCTCTTCTTTCTTGTTTTCACCCAAATCAAACTAAGTAAAACCACAGATGCTGTTTGTGCTTCACCCTCACAATGTGTGTATGTAAGTGTGTGAGTTTATCAAACACTGTATTTTGTTTCTGTTTTCTTTTTCTTTCTTGTTTTGGCTTGGCCTGGCTGGAATGCTTTGAATGTGCTTTTTTCCACCCATTTTCACTCACCCTAATTAAACTCACAAATTATTCTGTGTTGGACATCTGACATGTGGCTTCTAGAGCAATACATTATAGAAGTTTCCATGCGGCCTGATGAAAAAAATGCTTGTTTTCTTTGCAATGGTCTCCAGTTTTAGGAGCTAGGACAAATCTTATAAGCTGAAATATTATTGAATAGTAGTAGAATAAGTCTTTCTAGAGTAAACCCATTGAATTATTGAGGATTTGGTGAGCCAGCTCTTCTGTTAGATGAAGCCAAATGAATGGAACCTACAGAGGTGACTCAACCAAGTCCCCAGTGATTCAGTGGACCCACTCTAATGTGAACCTACTCTAAGCAACAGGATTCCCACCATATATTCTTAATATCTGTGCAGAACATTATGTGCTCAAAGGAATTCCTCTGGTTAGGGTTGCCAGTTGACATGGGAAAAGAAAGCCCAACCTGTTGCCGTGCTTTTAAGAGCAGGTTGATCTGCCCAATTTAGTGGGTAAAGTTTCTTGTACTCTATCATGAAAATAAGCATTCCACCTTGCTTCATGTCCTGTAGTTGCTGTTAGTTTCAGGACTGAAGGTTGGTACAAAAATTTACAGTCCTATTGTGAATTGCTTGATTTTAAGGCATTTTGCAGGCTTTAGTAATAGATGGACATGACTATTTTCTATGTCAGTTTCAACTTAATTTAATATTTGAGATAGATCATATTAACATTTCAGCCAGCCACTTTGTATCAATGATATTTAGGAGCTGTGACTGATCTGGATACTAATGGAACGTGTTCCTGTATGCTTCAGAGGTCAACTGGCATGAATACTAGTTTGTGTTTACTAAAATACAAGAAATTGTCATTGTAATCCATGACTACTGCACAAATGGCTGTATATCGACTTAGAGTAAACTCATTAGAATCAGTGGATCTTAACTTAGTTGGAACTTGCAAATCCTACTGGTTTCAGTGGAATCTCCTTCTAAGTGCAGCTTAACTGTGGATGCAGTCCAGATTCTCCAGAGTGATAAACAGAGCCATGATCCAGCACAGAATTATGTATATATTTTCTTCTCTGCTTAGATATTAATCTGGAGCATGAAATAGTGGGTGCAGCACATTATATTTGTACAAAATAGGATAGATTTATGAATGTAAAATGCTTTCATTTGGGGGATGTTTCACCTCACTATTTCAATAATTCCACTCGACTTAACTGACTAAACTGTAATACTCTGGGAAAAGTGTCAGATTGTGACCATAGAGAAGTGTAAAACTTCTGCCACTTTCGTAAGAGCGGTGCCTCTCCCTCCAAGCCATAGTGTCCAGATCAATGGAGGAGTACTATTTTATTGATAATTCCCTCCAGTGTCAGCATGATAGCTAAGGGAAACTATTTTTACATTTATTTTTGTTGTGTTTATAAAGAGAAAATACTGTATAGGGAGTTACCCAAAAGGAATCCTATTTTTAAAAAACTTAATAAAAACATACCAAGAACCCTCTAAGCATAAATTCTTATTTTAAAAACCTAACAGGTGTCCCCCATAAATAGCCACTCACAGCTGCTCTTCACATTCCATAAGCACAAATATTAAAAGGGTTGTAAGATCTCCAACCCTTTCATAAATAAGAGTTAGCCATTTGTCTTTCCCATGTTGCGATATCATTTGTTTAGCGACCAGAATCGAAACTGTGGAAATCCTTGAATGGTCACCTGGGTCGTTTGGATATGGGAGGAAATAATTAAATTTTTTATGTATAAGAGTTAGTCCTTTCATCCACTAGCTTCTAAAAGCTGTATTTTTCTAGCTTAGCTACATTCTTCCCTGCCAGCACCCACATGCAGCTCCTGCTTAACTGTTGGAAGTCTTAGTGAAGGCAGAGAGAACAGTATGTTGTCTAAAAATGCTCAGAAAGCAATGAGAAACATCTATTTTGCTTGGCAGTTGAAGGACAAATGTGAAAATGCTGCAACAGTGGGATACCAAGGGTATCAATAGAAACCTTTGTTTTTCTGATGTTCAGCCAAAGCCAACAGGGCAGTGTATTCTCAAAGGCTTTCATGGCCAGGATCCGATGGTTGTTGTAGGTTTTTTGGGCTGTCTGGCCATGTTAGGAAGAAAAAACTCAAGAACATGGCCAGACAGCCCAAAAAATCTACAGCAACCAACCAACAGGGCAACATCTGCAGGGAAATGATAGAATCAGTGAGAGAAATTGGATAGGGTTATTAAACAAAAAAGTTTGGCCATGTCTGACAGCTCAATTCTAGTTGATTTCTGCTTAGGCCCATCAATGCAGACATTAAAGGTGGGAGGGCTGAAAGCTTACTTATTCCTTGTCCTTAAGACTATGAATGCCTTCCGTAATTCACAGCAATTTCCCCTTTAGATGCACTTATTCTATCTAGCAGCAATGTTTTTTATATGTTGCTTTGTTAGAGTTTGGCTCTAAAACAGTTTATAATGGTTGTGAATAAATGAAGAAATGAATAAGCAAAAATCTGAAAAATAAGGCACTTGTTATAGTAAATGAGGTTCTTTAATGAGAAGAGTAAAACAGTGGAAATAGAGGCAGCCTAGAAGGCCAGCTTTCCTAATATAGTATACAGGAGTGTCAAAAAATATTTAGTCTTTTGCTGTTTCTAAATAAGATGAGAAACTGAAATGAGCAGACTTATCTATTCTTAATTGCATGTGGGTACCCAGTATAATGTAGTGAACAGAGTGACAGACTAGGATTCTGGAGAGCAGGATTTGAATCCCCACTTGGCCATGGAAACTCACTGGAGGAATGGAACTGGTAAAACCACTTCATAAATATCTCACATACAGTGATGTCTCACAAGACGAAAATAATTCGTTCTGCGAGTCATTTTGTATTGCGAAAATTTCATCTTTCGAATTTTCCCATAGGAATGCATTTCAGTGCATTTACCATAGGAATACAAATTTTAAAAAATTCATCTTGCGAGTCACCAAAAAAATAATAATCATAAAACGCTTTCGTCTTGCGGTTTTTTAATAATAATCACAAAACGCTTTCGTCTTGCGTTTTTTTGTTGCACAAGGCATTTGTCTTGCGAGGCATCACTGTACTTTGAAATCTTCATTAGGGTTCCATTAAGTCAGTTCTGATTTGACAGCACATAACTAAATTACATGTGAGTTGAAAAATCTTCAGTTTTATTCATTGATACGGAAATAGATGAAATGAAAACTTTAAAATGGCTTAAAACAAGAATAGAGAAAATGCCATGTAGGAAATATAGCCATGTGTAGTATCTTTGGTTTCATACCCTTCTCATAATATCAGTGATATTATTTGCCCAGTTAACAGAATATTATTTGTAAAGATAATAGTGTTAAGTGTCTTACTTCTACAGTAAAGTTGTAGGCCTTGTTTATGTCTGTTTACATGACTGATGTGTTCATTATATTTCACCTTTGCTTCAAGTGCCATGCAGCACTAGGAAGCTACTCATTAATCCAGAGACCTTGTAAAGAACTTAGCTTCACCATTATTTGGATCTTGGTTTCAGTTTAAATATTTGTTTCCATTTTTATCCAAATTGGCTGCATACCCAGTTATTGTCAAATTCCTCAAGAGTTAGTGGCAACAAGCCTGGAAACACGCTAAATTAAAGTAATCTGAGATTTGTTTTTTAAAACTTAAGTATAGTAGGCTTATTTCAATCAACATTTATTCCTGCTTAAAGAGACAAGATGTACAATCCAGACAGATGCTTCTAGTTTTTTATTTCAGTGTGGCTTGAATCCACTTAATGCCCTTTGCGCTATGCTGCAGTATTCTTTCAGTAGTTTAGCAACTAATTGGAATGTAGAATGCAATGAGTGCTGTTTGTTAAGCCTGCTCTTTTCTTTTTGTAAATTACAGTCACAATCTTGATCCCACAGAAGTCACTAAAAGTTTTACAATTGAATCAAGTGAGCCAGGAGCACATGCTGAAATGTGCGTTCAGTTCACTTGTTTTGTAAACCTTCCCAATTACATTTAAATGCCTTTTAATGTTTGGAAATATTGAACACAGTTTATGCACTTAATTGCTTTGTGGAATAAATCTACCAGATCATATTAATGTATTTATAAACCCAGAAGTATTTTTGACTTTTGATCTCAAACACAGGTTCAACCACTGGTTTATCTGCCACACCGCCTGCTTCCTTACCAGGCTCCCTTACTAATGTGAAAGCATTACAGAAATCCCCAGGGCCTCAGAGAGAGAGGAAGTCCTCTTCGTCATCAGAAGATCGGACCAGAATGGTAAGATTAAATTTAGTTTATAGAATTAGTGCCCCATCTTTACAACATTAGAATTCTAGTATTGATGCAACACTGCCCGATCTCTTAACCACAACTTTAAAATGGCATGATTTCCTAATCACAAGTAGAAAATCTGAAGTGCCCCCACAGGTTTCAACATCCCGCCCTTTTCCCACTCACTTATTCAAATCCTCTGCTTTCATTTTCAGAATACATATGGCAGGGCCATTACATTAGGTCCCATTGTTGCATATTGTGAGTTGCCCACCAGTCATACCGGCATAGACATAAGACTTTTCCACTTCAGGAAGCCATGTATGAAACCATTATTAAAAGTATGTATGGTTGTATTTCTGAAGTTACTTTTCTTGCAGAAAACTCTTGGTCGACGAGACTCGAGTGATGACTGGGAGATACCAGATGGCCAGATTACAGTTGGGCAAAGGATAGGCTCTGGATCATTTGGGACCGTCTTTAAGGGAAAGTGGCATGGTATGTAACTGCTGTGCAAAACTATTTTTCATTTAAAGAAAGAGAAAGGATATGTATAAATTAATATTTTTTTCAGTTTTAAAAGAAAATACATAGACCAGTTTTTCTCATCCTGGTGGCCTCTATAAACGTGTTGGCCTGCAATCCTATCATCCCCAGTATTATGGATCAGGTTTTGATGTGATATGAAAATAATAATCAAAAGATAATTATCATCCCATTCCCTTTGTGTCAACCTATAGTAATTCTTTAGATCTTGGAGCAGTGCGTTTTGTCTGAGACTGCTTTGAACACTTGACATTTTTTCACATACTAATAAATAGCTTGACTGTTTCCTAGGTAGAGAGTGCATGTCAGTAGTTGAGTTTTGTGTCTCCTTTTCCTATTCAGTGGCTTATATAGAACTGATTTTAAAACATTGTTTTTGAAGGTGATGTTGCGGTGAAAATGTTGAATGTTACAGCCCCCACCCCTCAGCAGTTACAGGCCTTTAAAAATGAAGTAGGAGTGCTCAGGTAAGACCATGAATGATTTTAATGACATAAATCTTATCAGGAAAACCACTATATTGATCCATTTATTGAGAACATTGGACTTTTCCCAGTCATTCTGCTGAAATGAGGTTGAGTCCACAGAACAAAATTGGGCCCTTTGATCAATAAGGAAGAGATAATTGACATTCTAATGGGAGCCCTAAAGTTAATAGAAGTAGATGAATTGAAGATTGTTTTTTGTTTCTAGAAAACAAACAAAAATGCAAAAAACCTGATGAGAAATGAATATATACAGTTGAGTGTAAATTGTTAATGCAGGAGAACTTTTATACAAAACCGATCGTGAGCTTTCTATCTGGGACCTAGGAAGCTAGTTCTCCACACAGTAGGGTGTGTGTGTGTAAATAGAGGTAACGTCAACATCATATGTCAATGTTATTAATTAATTTATTTATTTAAAATATTTTTACCCCACCTTTCTCCTTAAAAAGGACCCAAGGTGGCTTACATCACTGAAAGATAATATTTAGAGCTAAAAACAATGAGTATAAAAAAGCAGCTTACATCATTAAAAAACAAGCCTTAAAGCTAAAAACAATAAGTATACAAATATTAAAAAGGAACAAACAAATACCACCCTGAGAAATGGTAAATACAAGCAATACTAAAAACATAGTCAAAGCAGTGATGCATAACAATCCATTCAAAAATCCCACACAGGCAGCCAGTCACTGAGGGAAAGCTTGCCTGAAGAGAAAGGTCTTTGCCTGCTTGTAGAAGGTCAGCAAAGATGAGGCCTGTCTGGCTTCCTGTGTGGCAAAGACTGGAAGAAGCAACAGAGAATGGCCTCTCCTGTGTCTCCATCGAACACACCTGCGAAGGTGGTGGGACCAAGAGAAAGACTTCCCCTGATGATCTTAAGGTTAGAACTAAGGCCATTCAAAATGGTTGGCTGGAAATTCAGAATGAGCAAAAGAAAGTATTTGCATCACATAATGGTCAATATTCTATTACTTATGCCTGCCAGGCTAAGTCCAGTGCCATATTTCAGTGGTGGTTTATCACTATTTAAGAAATTGCTGATTGTATTTCCTGCCACACACGGGTCACATGATTCGTTACACAACAAGAAATGTAAACACACATTTCTTAAGTAGTGGCAATTTGCCACTGAAATTTACACTGTTGTACTTAAGGCAGAGAAGGTATTTAGTTGGATTCTGTCTTGCATAGTGAGTTTCTTAAATTAACTGCTGCAGGGTTTATTTCTTTAAAAGTTTCTTAAGCTGTCTTTCAACTTTATGAGGGCATGATAAAATAGTTAAAAATAGTTGAAATATAGTTGAAACATTAAAAACATAGGACATATAAGCAATGAGATGCAGCAAAACTCAGTATTGCACACTGAACCAGCAAGTTGCTTAAAACAAGAAAGCTATAAATTGACACCAGAACAGTTGCAGTGTTTGTTCCAGTCATTCGTTCATAGGATGTGTATGCCTTAGCTGGGGTGTCGCATGCCCAGGAATGCAACCAGCACCTTATTAATTAATAACATTTTGCTGTCATGACTTATACCATCTCAAATACACAAGTGTAAATCTATAATTGGATCCTGGTGACTGATGTTAAAATACTAGCTGCAGTTAGACAGATGCAAGATGGTGCATATATCTATGGGTAGTAGTCAGGGTGGCGCTATGAAACTCATCTACTGAACTCTTTTATCTGTGGTTAAATCCTGCTTGCTTGAGAGCAAGGATGAAAGAGGGCTGTTACACTTCTTGTTTGCTTCCTGGAGCCATTGCTTAGCCCCTTTGCAAGACACCCTCTCTCTTCTAATGTAAGTAAATGCATAGCAGAACTTTTCGTGTCTTCATTTGCCTGAGTTCATTCAATAAGTTCAGTTATTTTAAGTATCACTTTGTTTTTCCAGGAAAACACGACATGTGAATATATTACTTTTCATGGGTTATTCAACGAAGCCACAGCTGGCTATAGTTACCCAGTGGTGTGAAGGCTCTAGCCTTTATCACCATCTACACATCATTGAAACCAAATTTGAAATGATCAAGCTGATTGATATTGCACGGCAGACAGCACAAGGAATGGAGTAAGTATCATATTTTCTGATAAGGATAGAGCAGAAAAACTGCTGGTTCTCCCTATAATGCTATCTCCCTATAATGCTAAGTTCTCCAGCACATAAGGTGTTAATTCAAATGCTTCACAAATAGCCACAAGCAGTAGGCAAGATGTCAGCCCAGCCTGGAACTTGGGGGAGTGGGGAGCATGTACACATTTCAATCTCTAGGCAATTGAACAGACTTCTCCGGCCTGCAACTAGCAGGCCAAACTGAATCTTTAATTAGATATGATTTAAATATTTCCTATAAACTGAATATTTGGTTTGTATTTAAAATTTGGTTCATCTCTCAAATTTTTGATAGTTGTGTTGGTGGCTCAGAAGGTCCCAAACTTTGGCCAACTCTGTCATGTATTTCAGCCTTATAAAGGCAAAATGCAGGCGTGACTATTTTTACTTTAATCAGAGGGTTGTAAATGATTGCAAATGAGCATATCATAACAGCAAATCTTCAGGGGATTTGTAAGCAGTTATGCCCACCTTTTAGTTGGAAAGAACCAACATGAAAAAAAGATATTTTGGTTATAGCAGGGTTTAGTTCCCATCTCGGTGTCAATGTTGCATAGTCTGTTGTGTGTCAAGTTGCTTGAAATTGGGGGTTTGTCTCTAAGCAATACAGGCTTGCCACCAAGATCTACTGCAAGACAGACCCAGAAGAGAAAATGAAGGTTGTCACCTTCAACCCAAAGTTCAGACTGCTCACTTGCATCTTAAACAATCTTCAACCCATTCTTGGCAAGAATACTTCACTCTTTCAAGCCCTTGGTGGCTGACTCATAGTTGCTTACAGACAACCTCCCAATCTCAACATAGGGAGTGTAGCCCAAATCTCCTGATGTCTTTATCCAGTAGTTTCATACAGGCAATAGAAGATGTGGGAGATTGGATTAAACCCTGAGGCACCCCAAACATTACTAACCAGAGAGTAAAGTTCACCCACCATAGTCTTCCGTGCTCAGTTTCAGAACCACTACACTACCACTCCCAACCCTAAGCTAATCAATTATACCTTGATCAGTAGGATTGTACTCGTCCTGTTCTGTCTCTGGCAGTTGTCATTCACAATTGCTATCAAGGCTGTTCTGGTCTCTAAACCTGACCAGAATCTAGATGAAAATGAATCGGAACAATCAGCTTCTTAGAAGACTGTCTGGAAATAAAAAACACTCCAGAGTGTATAGGGGGAGGTCAGTTCGGAGGTAGGCGAGTGGCAAAATATTTGTCTCCAGAGCTCCCTCAAGGGGCAGGAGTAGCAGAAAAAAAATCAAAACAGGAAATAACCAGATATTCATTTTCAGTTTTGATTGGATGAAAAATGTCTGGATGGAAGGTGGAAGTACTGAGACACTTCCATATGAAAACTAGATGCTTTATGGAGAAACATATTTTCTCTCTCTCTCTCTGCAAAAAAGGTTTTTGGAAAAAAAAATCTTTGGGTGGATATCATGGGAGTTCTGGATGATCTTAACAAAAGCATTGATGGGCCACACAGACTGGCCTTTGCTTACCTATGTTCTAGACCTTTGCTTAAAAAACAAAGACTGGAGACCAGCCAGTGAAGACAAAGAGTGCTTTATTCTCCTGCAGAGAGGCATTCAATGTCTCAGACCTCCTGATCTTCAGATTACTTGTAGTGGGTGGCAGACCTCCAGGTAACTTCTCCTTATCCTCAAGGTGAATAAGCCAAAAAGTATCCAGCATGGTATTGATGCCTCGTGCATAATTAACTATGGCATCTGACTCATTGCAGATATGAACATTTTTTCCTGCTTAAGTATGCTATAAACTGCTAGCAGTGAACAGCTAAGTTCTCCGCACTAGAATTGCAATGCTCTTGTGAAGCATGTTCCCAAACACTTTTTCCTGGTCAAACTCTTTCACCCAGACTGCATCGGTGTTTTTGTGCCTGAGAAAAAAGGGGTTACTACTTCCAGTATTCCATGTGGGGCTAAATCCCATTTTAGTCCAATAAAGCCTCAAGGTGCATTGGTTAAACTGCATTACTGCAGTAAAAACTCTGTTTACAAGCTGAGTTCGATTCTGGTCTCAGGTAGCTGGCTCGAGGTTGACCCAGCCTTCCACGGTCGGTCCCCCCCCCCTCTCTGTCTCTGTGTGTGTGTGTGTGTGTGTGTGTGTGTGTGTGTGTTATTTGCTGCACGTGTGTGTGTGTGTGTGTGAGAGAGAGAGAGAGAGAGAGAGAGAGAGAGAGAGATTTGCTGCAGCTAATTGTGATTGGTGGACAAAGTTGTGGCACAGTTCAGCTTTTAGACACAACCAAGATGCATGCAGGCATCTCATTAGGTGGCTGCAATTAGTCATGGCAAGTTATATAGTCCTTATGCAAACATCTGGAGTCTGGCCATTGAGTGAATGGCACAGAATGAAGTGACACATCTGAAAACATCATTGCTTCAAAGGACCTACCATTGCTGGGGTTAAAAATTAGATTTAGGACTTGGTTGTTCTCTAACCTTGAACCACATTTGCAATTTGTTGCCTACTCCTCTAGTATGGACATAATTTTTTGAAGGTATTGAACACTTAAGTGTGTATTGTCTTGATAAAAAGAGTATTTTTCCTGTGTAGGTTTATTTCAGACCTGCACATTATTTTGTTTAAAGATCCTCATCATTTTTGTTACAGAAGACAACTGGAATAAACCTTTCATATTCTTCCTCTGGTTAAGCATAGATCATGATGTTTTACAAGGACTGGCACCAAGCCATCCCACATCTTGTAAAATGCTAACCACTTAAATGCTTCCTCTGTATCTGTATTTGGAGACTGTAATAGCAGAAAGGATCTTTACAAAATCAGAAGCATTTCTCTATAGCGTTATTTGTGCTCTGTACACTACTTGTAATGAGGCTAAGGGAGTTCAGATGCAGATTGTTCTTTTTTGTGAGATAGGCAGATCTAGTACTTTAGCTTCTATTTCTGATAAAGATAACCTCTTTTTTTGAAAAAAAGGACGCTTTAAATCTTTTCTAGTGCCATCTCTTGATGTATTTGCTGTGACAGGAGTAACCAAAGATATTTTGTTGTTTGAGTTGGAGCACAAAAAAAAAATGGCATCACTTTCAGGGGGCATGATCATCCAGGCAAGCTATTTTGGCACCTGAGTCATGAAATAACTATGATCTCCCCTCCATCTGTAAAAATGCAATAAAACATTAGCAGAAATCCTGTTGTGCAGCTCCATCTGTGCAGTGAGCATGACATAATCAGCAGTAACAGATTGTCACTGATTAAATACTTTTTTTTCTTCATTTGGGGATGCGCATAGTTCAGTCCCAATGAGAAGAAATTGTATGAACTCTGAAATTGAAAAAGGAAGCCTGCTGCTGCTATAATTCCTGCTGTGCAGGCAGAACCCAACTGACAGGATTTCAGCTGTTGAAAGCCAAAAATCTGTGACTTATAACATTGAGAGTTTTCTGCCTGAGGCTGCCCCCCTTTTCCCAAGCTAATGATAGGTCTTGGCACAATGTAAGACCTGTTTGGCACAATTCATTGACTTACACCCCTAAGAAACTTCCCCTATCTTGCATATGGTCTTAATGCTGTTCCGAGAGTTAAACTTTATATATTTTTTTAATTTTAAAATCAGCCTAGTTAGCATAGTCTTCACAGTCACAGGAATAATACATGTGTTGTATTCCTCTACAGTGTTCTCATATAAAGATGGTAACTGTTCCTTCTACTGAAGCATTTGAAATGGTTAAACAAGATATTTGGATTGGCACTGATTCATTATGGTTGTAAAAGAGGCAGATGAAATATACTGAATTCAAAAGTCTCTCTTAAGTTAATAAACATAGAGCTTTATTAGAGTTGATGTTACTCTTTAATTTCACCATTAAAAGTTACCATATACAGTGGTGCCTCGCACAACGATGTTAATTGGTTCCAAAAAAAAACACCGTTCTGTGAAACATCGTTCTGTGAAACACCATTTCCCATAGGAATGCATTGAAAACCGGTTAATCCGTTCCAATTGGAATGGATTGCCGTCCTTAAGCGAAAATCCCCATAGGAAACATCGTTGAGGGAAACGCGGTTCCCCAGTTGAAATGCATTGAAGCCGACTCAATGCATTTGAATGGGTTTCGCTCCTGTAAAAGTGCCTTAACCTGTTTGAAAAGTGTTTTAAATGCTTACTATCGTTAGCCCACCTCCTGAAACCTATGCAAACTTAATTTGGTGTTGTTCTGAGGCGTCCTTAATTTTTGGTGATTTTTTGTTTTTTCTCTCATTGAATATTGAACTGTCGGTTTCCTTGCTTTTGAAGCTCTTTCTGATGTCCCTTTTCGCTCCTGTAAAAGTGCCTTAAACTGTTTGAAACCTGTTTTAAATGCTTGGCATCGATAGTCCAGCCTGTGAAACGTATGCAAACTTAATTTGGTGTTGTTCTGAGGCGTCCTTAATTTTTGGTGATTTT